GAATTAAAAAAAAGCTTTAAAAGCATGAATTACTTGCTAATACTGAAAACATTTTATAGGTCTCTTTGATGTTATTTTCAACAAAGGAAATATATGCATTTTCCAAAGTCATGAAATGAGGCATCTTTCTCTGGCTCTTGAAAATGGCTCTGTCACTGGAATGGTATGTAGTAATTCTTCTTTTTGCCATATGTCAGTTGTATCCATACATAAAGTATTTTTGCATGAGGCATTTTTATAAGATGATCAAACTGTATTTGTATTTGAGATTCATCTTGTTACCGGACACGGGGTCTCAGAGTGTCTGGTGACACCACCCTTGGCTTCAGTCCACGCTGGTCACTGCTGAGGTACCCGTCACACACTGGGTGGCTTCCGACAGGTGGACAGCTCTGTGGCTCACCTGAAGGACGGACACAGGGAGCCTTCCCTGCAGTTGGTAGCCTTAGTGTCATGGATCAGGTCTTCCAAGGGCACCAATAAGTCCTTACTTTCGGGCCCAAATGCCTCCCTGGGACACTGAGGGGCAACAGGCAAGACTTCAAAGAGTATCTCAGACCAGAGGTGTCTCCCTGTAGCATGACCATCTTGATTTGTTTAGCTTTTTGCAGGCAAAATCTAGGAATGCACATCTGTTAATTTCATCTTTTAGTCCCAAATAGTCTTGAGTTAGGAAGACACAAATGAAGAAATGAAAAATAAGTAACGATAAGATACATCAACACTTCATGAAATTACCCACCCTGCTGCTGGAGTTACTTCCGTTCTTACTGACACCCTACACGGCTTCTGAGAAATCTAGAGAAGGGCCTCGGAGCAAGACGCTGGAGATGAGGCTGGGAACACGAGCACTGACTGGCAAACGCACGGCAGCGCCGGCTCTGCGGGGCGCGGGGACCGCCGCACACGTTCCGCGCCCACGCATTCTGAACTTCGTGCCTTCCTGGTGCCAGTTCAGGGGCTCTGTTTTGCTTTGTCTCCCCTTGTTCTTTTAGGCCAGTGGTGGAGCCTCCACTGAGATGCGGGTGCTTTATCAGCCCAACCGCTGTGCCCTTCTTGAGTCAGTGCTGGTTCCTGGTCACACGATTACCTTTGATCGTCGCGGCAAAATAGCGGATGAGTCATCAGCAGGCTATGCAGACCTCTCAGGAGAGTTTGTGGTTCTTGTCAAGGTAACGTGGAGGAAAGTCGTTGCGTTGCCACACGTGTAGTTCCTTCTGCTCTTGAACTGAGTCGTGGTAGAGTCATCGGATCCCTTCCCACCAGGTGGCGCGGATCCCTGTTGTCCTTCTGTTCGCCCAGACTTTGAAAGGCAGTAGGGACCACAGCCTTGCAGCAGGGAAACTGGCGGGGGTAACACCCTGTGTGCAGTTGACTTTGGAGGGTAGAGCTATGGCTGTGGGGATTTTATTTTATTTTATTTATTACTATTTTTTGTTGTTGAGGTACAGTCAATTACAATGTGCTGTGCGGATTTTAAACAAAAAGTTAGAGACTTAGGTTCGAGAGTCAAATAAATATATATACATATTTAATTGTCTCTAACAGTATTTATACCCTTTGGAGTGTCATACACGTGTGATCATTTCATAATGGTTATGCTTCTTTCTTTACAGAGCGTTTGTGAATTTATTTTTTAAACAATATTATGATATTAATATAATAGCTGTCATGTATGAGATTGCCTGTTTTGTGCCAGGCACTTTACTGAGACCTTCACCACGTACAAGACTAAACTTAAGCGTCATAAGAATATTTACAGATATTGTTATCTGTGTTTTCAACGTGAAGACAGTATTTTCAGGGAAGTTAAGACTCTGGACGGTAAAGCCTGGCTAGTAAGTGATGGATCATGAATCAAATCAAAGCCAATTTGTCTTCAAAACTTTTTGTGCATACTGTGTAACAGGCCCTTTATCACACTTACTTCTCCCCAAACAACATAGGTTTTAATGGTCACGTAATAGTCGAACATTAGGAATATATATATATTTGTGTATCACTGGGTATTTACTCTTAATGTCTTTATTTTACCACCTCTGCATGTGTTACTACAAAATATACTTTGATTTATGCCTTTGACAACATATTTTATTATTTTCTTAGCTTGGATAACTCAACATTGAATTTAAGGGTTAGAATATGAAATGTTTAAGACTCTGGGAACATACTGACAATTTCTTTCCAGCAATGTACCAACATTTAATCCTGGGAAAGTCAAGCCAAATGTGAGGGAACAGGTAACATGACCACCTTCACTTCTGACACTAACTTCAGATTTCAAAGGTCCTCCTTGAGACCACCATCAAGTTTTGGTAATTGACTAGAATGACTCAGAACTCAGTCAGTGCTGTTACATTCGTGGTTATGGCTTATTACAGAGGAAGGATGCAGATTAAAAGTAGCTAAGGGAGGAGATGCAGAGGGCAGAGTCTAGGAAAAGTACCGAACGTGGACACTATAGTTGTCCTCTTCTATGGAGTCAGGACAGTGTTGCACTCTCAGCGTTGATATGTGACAGTGTGCATGGAGTATTGCCAACAGGGAGCCTTGGTGCCCAAGCTCTCCTGGGGTTCCATCCTGTGCGGAGTCCAAGTGGCCAGTCTCAGTCTCCAGCCACTCCGGAGGTCAGCTGACACCTTGTTATGCAAAGTTTTACTCTCTGGCTGGCCCAAGGCCCTCAGGTAAACAGAAGTACTGCTATTAGGCAAGGCGTTCTGAGGGTTTAGAGATGACCCCTCAGAAGCCCAGGGCAAAGGCCAGACCTCTCTGGGTAAAACTGCAGTCTTTACTCCCCAGCTCCCTTCGACAGGGGAGGAAAGTCTCGGTCTTATTAACCTTGGTGTTGAGTATGGTCATTAGAAGAAACTGACAGTTTTCTAGAGGAATAGACATCTATTTTGGGTTTATTATTTTTTTGTTACTAGTAGAGATTGCTTTTCCTTACGTTCATTCATCATTTATATTTTGTGACTTGTGTATTTGTGTCTTTTATTCATTTCTCTTCAGGGTTAGTACGTTTCTAATTAACTTTCAAGAACTCTTTATATCTTCCTCTTAAGCTATTGATGACGTGGGATTTAGTTAAACGTGCCTTAGTGATATTTGATGCCTCTTTTCAATCCTCCATTCATTCGTTCACTTATTCCTATATGCACACTAATACTCATAGGTTACATCTCAAAATTCAGGCACTCTTATAGCATGCTGTTTTTATTCTCCTTTGTATTAGCATTAAAGCTGTTTGTTTAGAGTGATAGTAAATTTCCTAAGAAGAATGTTTGTGGTTTTTCATCTTTTTGAATCTCCGTGTAGGATCTGGTGCTGATTCGTACACTCTCAGTGAACAGTGACGAATGTAAATTGTAATGAGTCAACCAGACAAGCTTCTTTAGTTTTGTTTAGCTTTGCACAGCAGTTAAATTATTTATTTCCTTTTTTTGCTCATTCTTTCCCACCAAGCTCCTGGTACGATCCTGGTCCCTGCAACTTCTGCAGGAGAAGGAGCTTTATTACCACCCCTCTCTAGCAAAACAGGAGCTGGTCGTTCACTGCCTCTCCGCTGTGTTTGTTGCCCCGAAGGGTGTGTTCCTGCCCGGCGCTGTGGTTCTGCTCGCTACTAGCCCGTGCCAGGCCCTGTGTCTGCAGCCGGATGGGAGCTGCACTGGCTTGGGAAAACTGTCTGAACAATCCTATTGGAAAGTGCATAAAATCAGCTCTGGGATTTGCATGTTGGAAAGTGTGAAAAATGCACAAATGTTTCTGAGGATTGAGGATGGCCAGTGTGATGGAACGGTAAGCATCTGCTCGTGTTTTTCTCAGCAAATGTTTGAGACACTTGCCAGTAACAGATATGAGAATGGTACTTGCTGAGTGCTTTGTTTTTCGGTTTTAACCTATGAACATTCTGGAAACTGGATGTTATGTAAGGGGCCCCCTTTGACCGGTGTTTTTAGTAAGTGGGGAGGGCAGCTGAATGCTTGGTATGAGGTTAGAGAGGGCTGTTCCCCCTTCAGACGCTGCTTCTGAAATGTAACGTGGGTACAGGTCAGCTGGGATTGCGCTGGAAAGCAGATTCCCGTTCAGGTGGGCTGTGGGGGGACCTGCGTGTCTGTTTCTAATAAGCACCCAGCTGTTAATGATGAGCTGGTCCACGAGCTGCAGTTTGAAAACCAAGGCTCTGGAAAGTCCCAGCTCAGCAATATTTCCTTCACTGCTTCCTTTGGTGCCTGAATTTCCGCCAGTGGAAACCCTGTTCCTTGAGCAAGGAAGCAGTTTTAAGTTCTAAATATTAGGAGTTCTTCTTTAACATCTTGAGACGTAGGAGGGGCGTGGAGGGCAATAGAGTAACAGCTTTTACACATTCATCTATAGCCCGTCGTCCTCCTGCGGGCTGAGGGGCGCCCGTGACGGCCCAGCTAGCTCGCCTGCTAGTGCCCTGTTCGTCTGCTCTTGTTTGAAGGGGCCTGGTTTATGCTGTGTCGTTGGGGTGAACTCGGAGATGCTTTTTTTTTTTAATAAATATCAGTAAAAATCTTCAGCTTAGGGTAAAATTTTAGAGATCTTCCTGGCTTAGGGCATACCTAAAGGTCAGTGATTTTTGTCCATCTGCCTCCTAAAATCAGGGGCTCAAACATTCTGTAGAAGTCTCTAGCTTTTTGATATTTCTGTTAAAAATTCAAAGCATTAAAATGCTTTAAATAGCATTAAAAAAGTTCAAAGCCTGTTAAAAAAAAATACTGCATTGGAAAGTTGTTGCCAAAAGATTTGCAACTTTGAAGAGCCTTTCCAGGAAGCCAGCACCTCCTGAGTACTCTGTAAATCACAGGAAAATGTGCCACTACTCTGGCCAAAGATGAATTTCCTGATTTTGTAACAGGATCAGCAAGGAAAGGCAGGAGGGGAGGTGGGCTAATGTGTGTGGTGTCTCTTGTGTGGGAAAGGCTGTCCCAGCTCTCTTCCACTCGTAATGACACCCTCAACCCCTAAGTTCACACAAGAAAACAGGTGATCAGGCAGGCACACAGTAGTAGCGCGTCTTTGCTTAAGACTGACCCCCGTAAATGACCTAATGATGCTTTTGGTGTAGTTATGAAGAGGTTGGCCAGGGTCAAAGAGCTTCTGTTCTACATTGAATGCTCTGATCCACCAGGCACAGTTCAGATGAGCCCTCCTGGTGTCTCGCTGGGATTGGCCCCTTGGTTGGGCCCCCCCCCATGCACTGTCATGGGACATCGAGGTCCGCGAGGGCCCCTCCCGTGGGTGCCGTGTGGACGCTTGCTGTGTGCCGGCAGACCTGCGATTAACGGAGGGCCGGAGGACTCTGGCCACCTCCCGATGGTTCTGCCATTTAAACGGTATTGATGTTTCACTTTTATTTTGGCGTTGTTAAAGAGAAGACCACAGGCTCAAAGTGGAGGCACTTATGCTAGATCGTGTCACCAAACCGGGGCTCAGTACCTAGCCTAACTGAGGTTCTACCTCCCTGGGAGGTGCAGCCTTCACTGGTCGGCCAGGGGCTTTCTGGTCAGCACCAGTGAGGTATCTGTCCCACGGGCCCTCTCCGGCCCCAAGGAAGATGAGGGAACCCACGTAACAAGACCCTCTTGTCCCCAAGGAGAGATGGTGTACCCTGAGATCTCTGCTTGTGCTTGCTCGTTTATGACGTCCTTGTCTTGCCTGTGGGCCCCCCCCCCCCGCTTGCTGCGTGGGGCGCTGCCTGAATCACGAGCCCTTCAGTAAAGCCAGTTGGGTCTTTAAGGTTTGCCCATTGATTTTTTGTTATTTAACAGCACTCCGAGAACTCTCATCATTTGTGTTTACTTCTGCTCCTGCTGTTGTAGTCTTGTCTGTATTTGTAGCTTGTTTCGTGACTCACCGATGTGGCTGTCTGACTAAAACTCTCCATCTGAGTTTCGGTGCTGGGTCTTTTTAGTCAAAATGTACATGCATTTTTGCTCTTAAGATTCAGTATTGATGCGTAACAATCAGGCATTTATTTTTCACTTTCACTGTGTCTGAACAGACATCTTCGGGCTGGAATGACTCTACTTTTACACCTATTTGAAAAATAATAAAGGGGAACTGCAAGGCTACAACCTGCAGAAGAGGAGAGAACTGATTTTGTTGACTGTTATTAGAAACCTGTAAAGACGCACATAACTGGGTAGATAATGAGTTTTTTATTTCTTGGAGGTATTAGAGGGGCACTTAAGAAATTTCCTGAAGACAGTTTGAGATCTGTCCATATTGCTCCTCTGATTAAAATCCTTCAGTGGCTCCTATGGATTGGCCGCAGTCGGCCTGCGATCAAGCCCAGACTCCTGTGTGGCAAACAGGCTGACCCTCCTTTCCGTCTCACCTCTGCTCCCTGCTGGGTCAGCAGCCTCAGGAAGCTGTTCACCCACACACCATGCTGCCTGCTGCCTCCCGGCCTTCCTTCGTGCTGCCCCCCTGCCTGAGATTCCCCCACCTCCCACTTCCCTCTACTTAGCTTAATTGCTATTCTACACTTAACTCGGCCTCACCTCCTCCAGGAAGCCCTTCCTGATTCTCCTGAGCTTAGTGCCTTTTCTCTCCCCAGACCTAAGGAGTTCCTCTCTGTCCCGCTGGCCTTACATATTATATTTTTACTTGTATATGTGGTTGTGTCCTTGACTTGGCCATGAACAAATCAAAGCCAGGGTTTTATTGTATCCATAACAAGAACAGAAGGTAGAAGTTGCTTAGTTCCTGTTTATATTGTGAGACACAGATAGACAACAGACTTGGTTCTCACCTACAAGAAACTTGCCCTGGAGGGCAGAGGTCAGGCTGCAGTCATCTTTTACAAAGAAAATATAGATGCTATTGGGAATTTTAACTCATTCTCCCAGAACTCGCTTTCCAGAACTGGTTCATGTTTCAATGTACATGGACTTGGCAGAATCATCCTCTTCTTTCTGTCACTATTTTAGAGGGTCACGCGGTCTCTGTTTCTGGATCTTAAGGAACAGGGTGAAGCACGGCGTGCAGGTGATGCAAAAAGCTTCTAGATTTGTCAGGAGGACTTGAAAATGAAACAAAGCCATCTTCTTGTGAAATGACTGGTTTTAAATTCTGTCCTTCAGTGTTTGCTCATATTTATGAAATAATATTGTATTGATCGTAGGGCACAGGAGGTACTGACTGTCATTTTAAAATTAAGAAGAACCTGGAAAATGCATGTGTCAGCCTGGAATCTGTGAAGAGCCCGGGGCGGTTCGTTGGACTGCAGTCAGATGGTCAGGCAGCACCAGCTGTTTATACCAAGAATGGGGATGTTTTCTTCTACCCACGCGTCATCAAGTGTACGTTTACCCTGAAGTACTTCCTTCTGATTTGCTTGGTAGTGACTTGTGTGCAGGGTCGGATAATCTCACCAAAGGGTCACTGAGCAGGTCTCTGCCGTCAGGCTTGGTACTGGTTGTCGCTCTAGAAGCAGTGAGAAAAATTCGTAATGAAGACACTGACCTCAGAGTCTCAGGTGTTTAACGTTAGGTCTAGAGTCTTTGCTACTGTAAGCTCCTCTATGGTGCATTTGTGTGTGTGTGTGTGTGTGTGTGCACACGTGTGCACTTGTGTTTTGTCACTTAGGGGCATCTCCATGCACACTGAGAGGGCATGGGGCTGTTAGAAACATTCTCAGTTTCATTGCTATTAATTTTTAATGTTCACAGTGTCAAAGGAGATAGAAAAAAACAATCAACACAAATGGGGTTGAAATTAAAAATAGGATTTGGGGGAAAAAAAGTCCAAAGGATAGGACAGAATTGTGAGTATTTTGAAACTAGTTTCTCTCATGTTTAAGTTCTGGTTCTCTAGCAAATTGAAGTAAGGATCTGAGGACTTTATTTAAACAATTTAAGCTTAGAATATATTTGCTTGAACAATGGTTAACTAGGTAACTCTATTGTGTTCTTAAATTATCTCAAAATTTAGTTTGCTGTCTAATTTTTCTCTGACTCAGTCCCATGGATTTTGGCTTAATCACAATCTGGATGATTTTCTTAGTCAGTGGGAATCTGATTTTAGTTCTCTTTTCTTAACAAGGTCTACCTGTGCTCTGTACGGAGATACGTATAAAATTCTGTAAGTTTTATATATATCTTATCAGATGGGTCCTATGTAAATATAATGTAGATCTTCAGGGTAATTATATCTGTATCTGTATTGTATCTGTGTGGTGTCCTATAAAAGATCATCTAAAATAAGAACATAATGAGCGTGATTTAACATGGCGGCGTGGCTGGCCCTGTCCTCTGCGCTGTCTGCATCAGCTCCTTTTCAGCCTTCAGTTGCCGTATTTAAAATTAAAATTGTTAGGCTGGTACACCTTAACTTGCTGCTGTCCCTCCCCCACTCCCTCCACCCTCCGTTTCCCACGGGCTGGCACAGAGTGGCACTCCTACTCAACAAAACGGGCATGCCATCTGTCCCTGGAGCTCTGAAGGGAAATAGGCGACGTGAGGGAGAGCAGAACGACCCAGGCTGGAGCAGAAGGAAGAGCAGTGAGTGTGAGGGGCCGGCAGGGCCGCCCCCACGCCGGAGGAGCACAGGAAGTGGAGGATGGATGAGAAAGGAGAGCGAGCAGTGATTTAGAAAGGGAGGTGGGTAGGAGGAACGATAATTTGTGGTGACAAATGAGAGAGAGATAATAAAAGGCATGTTTGCCAGTTTAGGGGGTTAGTGCCAATGGAGCCATAGGAATGGAGCCTTCCTTTTTACAGGCTCTGCGGTTTAAGCCTTTCCCTAGAGCGTGGGTGCTTTGAGCTTTGTTCCCCGCACCCAGCGCTCTGGGCTTGGTGACGCCAGCCGACCCAGGAGAGCTGTGGCTTCTGTGTCTGGGGAACCGGACAGCAGCAGCGTCCTCCTCGTCTTCCCAGCAGAGCTGTGGGTCAGACGAGTGAATGTCTAGGAGAGTTCTCGATTCAGTGATAAGAGCTGACGCTTGTGGGCAGTTGTTTTCTGCCGGACACGCCAGAGCCTGGGTTCTACCATTTTATGTCACTTTGAAAAGTAGGTACACGATGTTTATTGTCTTGAAACTGCACTCTTATTATTTGATAATGTTTTCGAAAAAAATAGTTTAGCATCCCCAGTGACTGTGAATCAACTTTAAAAGCTTATGGCCAGTAGGGCTAGGCCTGATTCTTCTCAGCCTGTGTGATTAAATTGGTTGATAAACATCTATAATCTGTTTATATAGTTTACTTTTCACTTTACTATTTTTATTATACAAACAATACATGTAATTGTGGAAAGTTTTGGAAATTTGCTCAGGTAGAAATCTACCCGGAGATAAAACCTGCTGACATTCTGAGGGGTAGCCTGTCATGGTTTTCTTCTGCGAAGGTGTGTGCTGTGTGTATTTGTCTACCCTTTTCTATAGATATTTTCAAAGTATATTTTTCGACATAAAATTGAGCTGCAGTCTTGTATATGTAAAACAATTTCATGTGCTTTTTACTTTAAAAATGATTTTCTTCATACACACAGATTTATGCCGTATTTTCAGATGAGTTACACTGATGAGTTTATGACACATTATTTAACCAGCCCCTGATGTTGGATATTTTATTGTTCAATTTTTTGGGTTATTACAGAGACTGTTGGGAGGATCATTCACATATGCACATACTTTTGTAGTAGTCTAAAGTTTCTTCTTAGCAGAAATGACCAAGAGTGGAATTGTTTGCTCAACTTAGATAGCGATAGACGTCTTAAAGCTGACTGTGCCACCGTAATTCCAGCGGTCTCAGCAAAGAGACGTGCGGTTTGGGCACTAGCGGTCGGTCCTGTGGGGAACTGCCCGAAGGTTCTCGTTGGTCTTGGCTGTGCTGAGAGCTTCTGCTGCCCTGACTTTGGACCATCGGGCATCGTGCTTGGATCTCACCAGCTATCCTGACGGCCAGGTGCACGTCCCTGTGACCACCAAGCTCTTCCTGTTTGGATCAGCCCATGAGGATCACCGTGGAGTTCTGTCTGTCCGTTAGAGTAACATTTATGGGAGTTCCAGTGAATGCTAGACATCCATTGCAGGTGTCTCTTTTCACTTACAATCAACGGGAGGCTTTTCAAACAGACTATAAAGCTGTAGATCTTAGCTCTATAAAGATTGCTTCTCTTCAAAGGCTTATACCAAAGGATTCTAGACTTTGGAATTAAAAGAAAACAAAATTCTCAGCCTCATACCTTCTCAGTGATTATTTTCAGTCTGTAAAAATGACTGTAGCACCACTTTGCATTAACGTGGTGTTTTAGCCCAATGCATTATGTATATCTCATTATTTATCTTGTCATTGTATGAACGTTTAAGAAGCTGGATAGAGTCATGGCCAAGTGAGGGGTAAGATTCTCTCTCATAAATCCAGTAGGAAGAAGCACTTAATAGAATTACAGGCAGAGAGCCCATTTATAGGAAGTGGTGTAAATATTAAATATGGAGATACCTGTTGACATGGCCTTCAAGAAAGAATCCTTGGACTACAACAAGTCAGCTGAACTTCACGGCCTTGACGAACATTGTCAAGGTTTGGGCTGACTTAAAGAAGTATGTTCTATATGTTATCTGTTAGAATTCTCAGAATCTGGGGAAAAAATTGATACTGAAAGTTGGCAGAGTAGACTTTCCCTGCTATTGCAGACACCCAGATTGACCAAGAAGTCACTGATCCAGGGAATGTCACCTCCAGTATCATAAATGTCAACATTTGTACAGTAGATTGTTCCTAGAGAAGTTTACCCTAAAGATGTCATTCCTAAATACACTGAGGCAATTTCCTGTTTTAATAAGAGCAAGAGTGCTGGAGACACTGCCATGGATATTTTGTTGGAGCACCATGAAT